AGTGCAGCGCGCCGCCGGCGGGGCCGAGCCGGAGCTCGACGATGGCGCACGGGGGGTCTCGGTGGTCGCAGCCCCGCCGGGTGCGCTCTGTCCCCGGCCGCTCCTGTGCGCGGCTCCGCTGCAGCAGAGCGTGGATGTCGGCGTGGAGGGCCACCGGGGCCGCGGGGCCGACGCCTCCCTCCGGGTCCACAGAGATGAAAGGCGCAAAGAGGCTTTTACTCGGCGGCATCGCTCCTCTTCTTTCTCCCAACAAACTTCCAGCAAAGGCCAGAAACACAAAGTTCAACTTTCTTCACTTTGGGTGAATTTATGGGGATGGGAGCCGCGGGGACGCGCAGTGCGTGCTCCGGGGGCGTGGAGAGGGTCGTGTGCTGCCTAATGAACAGAGCCAAAGCCCGCTGCAGGAGGTCTATTAACCAAGTTCATCAAAAGAGGATTAGAAGCGTCTGAGTGCGCTGCTGTGGGCCGATACAGGGAGGCGGCCAAGCAGAAGAGCAGCACGGCCGAGGAGGGGAGAAAGGAAGGATGAGAGAGGTGTGATGGTAAATGATCACTTCCACCAGGTTTCACTACAGAAACCAAATACAGTCCTCTCTTTCCTTCATAATAAAAGCTCCAGTTGCACTTTATGTAGCTTTAAGGTCTTTCATTAGGAATAAGTTAAGTAATAAGTTCAGAAAAAAGCAGACACTAAATAATATTTCTACCCTGCATGTTCATGTGCTAAAAGATAAAAGACTAACTTTCTGTTACAATTAAAATAGTAAAATATTCTGCAGAAGTAACAACATATATTAAACTGGAACATTTGAAAAATCCCGTTATGAGTTATTAATGAATAATACATTTTAAAACTCCACAAACAGAAAAGTTATTTGAGACTTGTGTGTGGAACACAAACTGGTTTTATTCTAACTCTAAGGTATTTTTATGGTAATGTCCTGAAATGATTTGAATTTGGGGATTAGAGTTTGTGGGGGTGGTTCTGCGAATTGGAGCAAATTGTGCTTCTGTCCATACTTCTTTTAATTTTTAGGATTTTTTTGGCAGCTTGAAGGCAGTTAAAATTTTACAATTATCAAAACAATAAATAAATAAAGGCTTCATCATTTTATTCCGGCAGTGTGGGGATGGCTGAGACTTTTGTGTTGGGAAAAAGTTTACAGAAAATATAATTGAATTGAGCAAAAAATGATGATACAATTTGAATTTTCTTTTTGGCTGTTGTTTTGTTTTTGGTCAAAGATTTTGTGAGGATGCTGAGGGGTGTTTATGGGGGGGACTTAAGACTTTAGTGTTTCTGAAATCCTGGTTACCGCCCTGCTGTTTTTAAACTTTCATTGGTCTCTTCATTCACAATCCTGCTGTGTTGGATCTCAGAGTTTGTTTCCAATCGAAAGCCACATCAATAAAGCTACATTTACACATTGCAGCATTTCCTTTGGGTCCTCTACAGGTTGTAGTGTTGTTGTGATATTTGTCTCGTATATTAAAGCTCATCAGCTCGTCAGTGGGATTCTTGTTTTTAAGGTTAATTAAAAGCGTTGCGGCTCCCTGAGGGAAAAGCCTGATGATGACTGACAGTAACTGGCATACTCGCATCCTCTGGACAGACTCTAATGGGATTTAGCAGCGTGTCCTGACTGCCGTGTGCCAGCACTCTGCCGGGCCGGGCCTTTACAAACGCCACAGCGTGGCACCGAGCTGGCACAAAGATGGCTGCGTGACACACAGGAGCATAATAGACTCCTTATGGCCAGGAGGACCCTCGCTGTCTGAGGCTGCGGGTTCGTTTCTTTTTACTCTCCAATCTGGAGCACGTGGGGAGGTTTGGCTTCACGGCTCAGATGACAGTTGTTGGCACACTCCGCTTTATTAAACCCAATGAAACGGCTCATTGCAGCCAGTGGACGGACACGGGCCGCAGATCAAACCCCACGCCGCCATGACAGGCCCTTACAGATGACACCTAGCTGTTTAGTCTTCTGACCGTATCGGACCTTCTGTTCTCACAAACTCCAAAAGTTGCGGGTCACCTTATTGTTTCAGAGCCCACGAGTTTAGTATCTCTTAGACTGTTTTATACAGAGCCATCAAACTGTACTGCTGACCACCTTTCAGAGTCATTGTGCTTTAGATCTTTGTTCTTTGGAGGCAGCTTATATCCGATTTCTGCACAATCTAGAAACAAACGTACATCGATTTGAATCCGAGCTGAATACGACAGTAACATGAGTTTAAACACAGTTGAGTTTGTGTTGAAATGTTTTGGTTAAAGATACAGTGTGTAACATTTCGGAGGATCAATTAGCAGAAATAGAATAAAAAATTCATACGTATGTTTTCATTAGAGTGTAATCACCTGAAATGAGCGGGTCCTCGTGTTTCTACAGTAGCCCAGAATGGACAAACCAAACACTAGCTATACATCCGTTTTTTGCAAGATTTGTGGCGACCGTAGTTTCTCCTACTCCAGGGAATGAATTAGAGGCCAGCTGACCCTATTCTGGCCCACGGGCCGCAAGTTGAGTCTCACTGTCCTACACGCTTGGAAGCGAACGGTGAGTTGAGAGGTATTCAGTTGGTTGCAATCTTCAACCTTGCCGCTAGATGACACTGAATCCTACACACTGGTCCTTTAAAGGAGGCATTGTCTGTCTCTCAGTAATGTCTGACTTTCTGTGGCTCTCAGTCCTAAGCCCTTGGTTCCTACTGCACATGTAAATCTTCATAAACACAAATATAGTTTTATGTTTAAAAATGGGTCAGTATGGAATGTCACCAGTTATCCTTTCAGGTTACGTTTGGGTCCAACAGAAATGAGAGGGATGGTTTCTATTGATCTATGATTGGTTGAGAGACAAACAAAATGGAGATTTCTGTTTGGGAAATAAAAACAAAATGGAGCAGTTAGCAGTTAGGAGAGGTTTGGCTTCAGTTGTTAACACGCTCCACTTTATTAAACCCAATGAAACGGCTCGTTGAAGCCAGCGGTCGGACACAGGCTGCAGATCAAACCCTTTTTAGTGTTCCACCACTTTCATCCACTGAGTCAGTGAGGCAACACAGAGATCAATTCTCAACCTTCACCACGGCCGTACCGCTGCTTCTACATGCTTCATCCGATTCAATACAAATCTCACACACACACACAGACGCTTTGTACATTTGATTTCAAGTTCAGCCACTGGTTTCAACTCGTTTCAGTTTGTTAAATGGAAGTTCAGTCGCAGTCAGTCCACATCAGATATTTATGTTATGGCCAGAAATAGGGTTAGATTTAAAGGGTTACTTCATGAGCTTTGCTGTTGCTCATAAACAGATAAATACAATCATAAATGGACACCGAAGCGAATCTGATTGATTCTTGAATTAAAAAGGTTGCTGTTTAACTTCTTATGTACAGTTGTACAGTGACAGTTGACAGTTGTACATGTCCATAATAATACCTTTGTATCTGTAATCATCACGTAATGCTCTCACGTTGGGTTTGTTTTGTCTTTATGTTCTATTTTGTTTTTGTCTAATTTGCTTTCATTGCATACTGTTATCTTTGTCAATTTTATTTGTGTGTAATTCTGTAAATGGTACTTTTTGTCATTGAGGACCCCTTTGAAAACTAGATGGTACATCCCAATGGGTTATTCCTAATATCAACAAGACAGAACTGTCCAACAATCCCTGCTCACAACTCTAATACCACCTGAAGATGACCAAAAAAAACAGGAAGTTGTTTTCCTGAAATTAAGAAATTAAGTGAGAACAATGGCCGCCAAGAAGGAACGGTATAATATGTACACTGAGTGAATCAGTTGGATCATCTTCAACATCATTAGTTGAGTTTGAAAGTAAAAACATAACACATTAAAATCAAAGATTTGATGCTCGATGTCTGACTGCAGTGTGCAATTTTTAGTGTTGCTTATTTCAGCGTCTTGCATCATCGACCACCAAGCTGATAAATGTTTAAAAAGGTTTAAGCCTGCTGCCTACCTGAAAACCCACCAGCCAATAGTTAAAGTTTTATTACAAATAATTTTTTTTTAAAGTTATCAGTGCATACGAGAATAACAACAATATAAATAATTCATATGACTGACTTTTCTTTCTCTTAATATTAAGATACAAGACTGTTGACAGGCTGCATTACTTATGAAATAAAGTTAAAGTGAAATAAAGTTCTTGGTTGACTGTTGATCCTCACATTTTGGTTTTTGACTGTATGTGTGTATGTATGTTATATAATAGGTTATAACCTATTTTGGTTATATACTCTTAATTTGCAGGTTGAGCGTTTGACTGGACTTCGCTAAGTAACAAAGACTAAGTTCAGGTATAAATCTAAGAATATTTTTGGGTCGACTGGGAGCCAAATTAAATTAAAATTGGTCTTTTTCAAACTTGACCCAGACATGAAGAGCAGGTATTAAAGGGGCTGCAGACACAAACAAACCTCATATAACTGTCTGTTGTCTCTCCAATGCTACATGATGTGTTTGTCTGTTGAGATGGTCGCTGTGTCGGATTAGGAGATGAGAGAGTTGAGTCAACCTGCGTGATGTAGAGAGTGATCTGTGATTTCTGGTGAGAAATAAGGAAGAACCACTCAATGAACAAAACCGCTCATTCGCCAGTCTGAACAGCCAATCAGAGAGCCCCACCCTCACCCACACACACACACACACACCGGACAACCTACAGGTGACAGTCGCCCAACGATGGCAGACTGTCGGCTCGGTGTGTCAGGACTCCAAAGTGACAAAAACTCTTTGATGCTGTGATGCAGAAGGAACAACATACACACACACACACACACACACACACAGATCAATGGCCATATATTCAAACGGCCACACACAAGAATGAACACAACCACACACACACAAAGCCCCCGACACACTCATTTGTCTTATTTCACACCAGTGATCCTTCCTTCCTCCCTCATTGTGTCACCCTTTACACACAAACACACACACACTCATTTGTTTCACTATACATCACAGGACCCTCCTGCTCTCTCTCCCAGCAGGTCCAATTACTAATCATTGATTAGGCCAGCTCTGTGTGTGTGTGAGTGTGTGTGGCCGTGAGGAGTTTAATCAGGCGTGTTGCCCCACTAATGAAAGATCGGCCTCCTCTATCGGCCCCTCAGGACCTTCACCGTGTGTGTGTCTTGCAGTGAGTAAATGAGTGTTTGAGTGGTTGTTATTGATGCTGTGTTTCTCCAGT